GCACAGCAAGACAAATGAGATTCTGTTCTGTGGCCGGTTCTCCTCTCCATAAGGAAGAGGAGTCATTGATTGTAGCTGTTCTCTTTTCTCCTACCCACCTGCTTTTCCTCTGATGCTTGGTAATGTGCCTGTAACCCAAAGTGACCTTATTAGTGTAGTGTTGACAGTTCAGAAATAAAGGGCCTCATTTTGACACTCTTGGTTCAAAAAAAAAGAAAGGGAATTTGGTTATTTGGTGGCAGATTTGCTGCTCTGTATTGGTGGGTTGAGGGAAGAGGAGGAGGATCAGAGGTAGCCAGGTGAGGGGCCCGTCTGCCTTTGGCTTTAATAGGAAGTCTTTAATGTGTGGGAAATTTCTCCTCGCTCTGCTTCCTGAAGTTCTGCTTCTGGAATGTGTCTCCTGCGCCATGTGAATGTGTTATTGTGAACGAGATAATCTGTGTGTCCCTGACATCATGACTGCTCATGAAAATGACAGCTGGGAATAGAGTAGCAGCTTTGTGTTAGATTCAAATAAGTCCTAGTTTACCCTTCACTGATTCTTTGGTGGAAATGTTCCCGTACTTTCTCTCATGTATAGGATATGAACTGTGGAAAAGGTACAAGGCAGAAATCATTAGTTGACTGAATATTATACTGAACTAAAAACAGGTAAGAAATCAGAAAAGGATAATGCAAAGTTTTAGGAAATTACTGGATGCCTTCCTTACTCTTTTCTGTTTCAAGCTCAGAATAAAATTTAGTTTCATATGATACATAGCTCTGGTGCAAAGAGGTTAAAGCATTCTGCTGGTAACCAAAAGGTCAGAAGTGCAAATCCACCACTCGCTGCATGAGAGAAGGATGAGACAGTTTGCTCTCATAAAGATTTATAGCCTTGGAAACCCTATTCGGTCCTCTAGGGTCTCTGTGAGTCAAAATTGACTCAATGGCAGTGTTTTTGGTTATATATTTGTATTTAAAGTGAAAACTGAAGAAGATAAAATTATTATTATTTATGAAATAGTTTCTTTATTAATGCCAGGAACTGGAGCTATTCATCTGTGTAGTTTTCACAGTCTTGTTGTTGTTAGCTGCATTCAGTTGGCCCCTGACTTGTGACGACTCCACAGAGTGTCACAGAGTAGAACAGTTTCACAGGGTTTTCTTGGCTTTCATCTTCACTGAAGCAGTTCACCAGGCCTTTTATCCATGGAGCAGCTGGGAGGGTTTAAACCACCAACCTTTAGATTAGCAGCTGATTGCAAACCTTGTGCTTTATTGTCTTGAGGATGTTTTCACATAATATTTTATCTTCACAATAACGTGATTCAGAGAGAGGTTAGGTGGCTGAGCCAGGCTCCCTAACTAGTTGGCAGTTGAACTGGTATGAAAAGCGAGGCTTCCTGACTGTGCAGTGATTACCCTCTTGGACAGAATCTGCTTTAGCACATGTGACTGACGAGGATCTGCTGAACTGAAATGTCTGGGATTTCTGACCTCTGACACCAGAGGGTGTTTGTCAGTGGTGTTGATGCTATTCCTCAGTCAGGCACACGAATTTAGGAGTTCTATGAACCTTGTAAGGAGCCCTGGTAGTACAGTGGTTAGAGCTCTTGACTGCTACCTGGGGTTTTGGCAGTTCAAACCCACCAGCGGCTCCACGGGAGAATATGGCAGTCTGCCTCCTAAAGATTACAGCTTTGGAAACGCTATGGGGATGTTCTACTCTGTCCTGTAGGGCCACTGTGAATTGAAATCAACTCGACAGCAATGGGCGTGGTTTTGGTTTTTATAAGCCTTGACTGTCAACGTACCGGAGTTGTACTGAATTTAGAATTTCAGCCAAAAGTATCTTAATCATTAAGAAATAAATGGCTAGAAATCAACTTAGCACTTGAGAGCTGAACTTGATGACAAAATGATTTGCCCCCGTAATGGTGACTCAGAGAGACACTGTCGTACTATCAAGTGCCATGACAGGACAGAACCCACGCGCGGTGGTGGCCTCTGCACCCAGTGGCTGTGTGCTCACTTGTATGTTTTTAATGCATCTCTTCAGCATTCCTTTCTCACTGACATATACCACTGTGAAGGCATATTAATGTTACCTATAGCTCTTTTTGCTCCTATTCTCAGAAATCATGCAAAGTATGCTTTTCAGCTTAAAACAAAATTGGAGGACTCCAGAATTCTTGTTCTTCCTGTACAAGGAAACTTGAATGATCTGCAGGTCATCCAGAACTTCTTAATAGGAAAAAATAAAACCGCTCATTTAGTTGCCAGTTATATTTGGCATTTTTGCTGAAGTAACCCGTATTTTACTTTTTCTTTTATAGAGTGGAAAGCCACCCATCAGTGATATGTTCACAGACCTCAAAGATGGACGGAAGCTGTTGGATCTTCTGGAAGGCCTCACAGGAACCTCCCTGGTGAGAAGAGTCATCTTTAAGAACTAGGCTAGCAGATTGCTGCTAGTCATTACCGATACTTGAAGACCTCCTGTGGGCACTTAAAATATAAAAACTGGAATAGGAAAATTGAAAAGACACATTTTTAACCAGTTCTTCGATAATGAAGGGGCTCTGGAGGTGTAGGTGTTCAGGAATTTGGCTGCTAACCAAAGGGTCAGTGAGTTGAACCTACCTGCCACTCAGCGGAAGAAAGATGAGACAGTCTCCTTCCATAAAGATTTATGGCCTTGGAAACCCAATGGGGTCACTGTGTGTCGCAGTTGACTCGGCATAACTTTGGTTTCTTTGATAGAGCAATAGTTAGGCTTTCTTGGGGCCCCTATTTTAATCGAAGAGAAAATTACTTTAAATCTTTATTTCTCTGAGACAGCCCAGACTGGGAAACAACAGAAAAAAGAATAGGTAAGTGAAAGGGGCATAACATTTTGAACCACAGAGAGGAGTACAGAGACAACAGCACTTAAACATTATTTAATAAATACGAAAAGAAAAAAAATTGCTTGAAACTATGACATTTATTTCTCTTCAGGTTTTTGGTATTATTTTTGTGTTCTTCATCAAATTCAACTCTGTGACTTAATGTGTAAGGTACTTTTACACTCACACAGAGATACACCTTCAGAGGCTGAATTAATATAAAAGGTGTAGAGAGATGCACTCTGAAAGATGAATTCCTTTCTGGACACAGTGTGGGGTGTTATGCTCTCCTGTTTGTTCCAGATGGTGGGTAGCACCTACTGGAGACACTGATCTCTTTCTCAGATAGGTTCTCTGGCGAGTGAGGGTCAGAGAAGCTGCGAGATCACCTTTTCCAAGGTGGCAATTCCTGCCCTGCCCTGTGGGCCCCAGCATGCCTGGGATACTGGAACCAGGATAGGCCGCTGAACCCTCCCTCCTTTGTCCCCACTAGTGCGCCATGTGGGTGACATTTTCTGCATCAAGAACAATTTAGATAAAAGCAGCTGTGTTCCTAAAGCGGTGCCTTCCAGACGGGTATGATGTTAGAGGCACCGGAAATCTTTAAAGCATTACAAAGGCCAGACCACACCCCAGACCACTTAAATCACTTTCTTTCTGGGGTGGGATGGAACACAAGCATCTGTATTTTTGTTGCTCCATAGAGGATTCCAGTGTTACCAAACACAGCAGACCAGCTGCTGTGGAGTTTATTCTGGCCCATGTTTACCCCTGTGTTTCCGGGTTTTCGTGGCTATGCGCTTTTCATAGAGATGCTTCTGGGTAGGTTTGTACAGCCAAACGTTTTGTTCGTAAAGGCATTTAACTTTTTGAGCCCACCACCAGGGCCTTCAGGCACATTAGGGAACCACTCTCTTAACATGCCGTAAGTTGGGGAATTTGTAAACACCACCCTTCAAGGTGGCTTGAGAAATCAGCCAGGGTGCCTGGCACAGTGAGGTGCTGCCCTCTGACCTTGCTGTTTGTTTACATCTCAGGGTCAGAGTTTATCAGGCTCGTGGAGGGAACATCTATTTTACTTGTTTTTGTGTCTTATTTTACAGCCAAAGGAACGTGGCTCCACAAGGGTGCATGCTTTAAATAATGTCAACAGAGTGCTGCAGGTTTTACATCAGAACAGTGTAAGTTTGTGATGTGACTTTTGGGCTTTTGCTGTGTCATGGACATTATTTAGTTTGACACCAGCCACTTGCTCTGTGCACAGGCATCAAGTGATTTTTAGAAACATTTCTCTTATGTATTGAACCTTTTCTGTGATGGGAAGTATACATACTTATGTGCTTTGGCTGATTACTTTATTGATCTGTTATAGAAATAATATATTTCCAAGATTAAGTTTTACCTGAATTCTCGGAACTGAAATATCTCTTATCATTCACTTGAGTAGGTGGCTAGCCTGCTGAAATGAAAAGCTTATCTTCTGTAGGAAGAGGGTCTTACAAGTTTCTCTTTCATCCTAATAGGTGGAGTTAGTAAATATCGGAGGGACGGACATTGTGGACGGGAATCACAAGCTGACTCTGGGACTACTGTGGAGTATCATCTTACACTGGCAGGTGGGGCACTTAGAGTCACTTTCAGACAGAAACCGAAACTGTCACTTGGAGTGGAGAAGACTGACAGACTGCTCTAATTTCCTGGCATAGGCAAATGCATTCTTTAAAAATATATACAATCTAAAACAATTGACATAATTTTAGGTGCATTAAAAAATTACAAGAGTAATCACTCAGGTTCCCCAAAAGTTAACAGTTTCGTATATTTATTTGTTCTTTCTCTCTCTTTTCTCTTCTCTCTCTCGGCCCCAATACTTCAGTGTGTATTTGCTGAAAATAAGGAATTCTCCTAAAATTTTTTTTTTGTGTAATCACAATAGAACACTAATATAAAATAAAATGTGTATTCTAATATGTAAGAGGATATATTCTAATGGATTTTTAGAAAAAGTGACAACTATTATGTTATATAATGATAACATGAAATACATACCATCATAATCAGGAAAATAACACTGAAACAATACAGTTATATAATCTACAGATGTTATGGGGACTCTGTCAGTTGTCCCATAATGCCCTTCACAGCAAAAGAAAACCCACAAACATGCATTACATTCATTCCTCATGTCTCTTGAGTCCTCTTTAATCTGGAACAGTTCCTGAGTGTGGTTTTTTTTTTTTTTTTTTTTTTTTGTTATTGGTGTTATTTCATGATACTGACATTTTTAAAAAGATAATTAACTGAAAGCTAGTTCTTTTCTAGTCCCTCAGTGTGGGTCTGGGTGATGATTAGGTTCAGGCTAATTAGGTTTGGCAGAGATTCCGCAGTAGTGATGTGGTGTTCTTCTCAGTGCATCATATCTGGAGGCATGTCTGCCCCTGAGTTCTGTTTCTGACGGTGTTAACTTTTATCATTTGCCTGAAGTGTCATCAGCAGGCTTGCCCTGTAAACTGATGACCATTTGTTATTAAACACTATCTTTTGGGGATATATTTTGAGATTGTGTAACTACGCAATTACTTAACAAACTTTATTAGTTTTAACATCCGTTCAAAATTCTCACTTGGATCAGTTAGTCTGTGCTTGGCAAATAGTGATTTTCTGATTTCACCATTCTTTCTACATTCATTATTTGACTTTCTACTTGTAAGGAAGAGCTTTTCTTTGTCTCTTGTTTATCTGCCTCATCTACCTACCTACCTACTTATGAACCTACATATCTATCTGCCTGTCTATCTATCCATCCATCCCTCCCTCTTCCCTCCCTCCTTCCATCTGTCCGTCCATCTATATATTTCAGTGTAGACTTCCTTAATAAGTTACAATCTTTGACAGTTGTCATTTATTTTAATTCTCAAGTTACCTTAGATTTTGCCAGTAGGAGCTCCTTTAAGGTGGCTCCTGTGGTCGGTTTTCTTTTTTTGGATATGTCTGCACCATTCTTGGAGTACTTCCTTAAAAGGTATGTGCTACTTTTGAGTATTAATCAAAATATGTTAGTTGTAGATGATAACTGTTCTTGCCATCTGAAAGTCACTTTATTCTTTGATTTGCTATCAGTCAAAATTTCTCTTC